ATTCGGTACGCCTCCCCAATTAATTCAACCAACAATTGTGCTAATAGTAATTCATTATTTTTTTTTTAAGAAAAAAATAGTGTCCACTTTGGTCCCTCAACGAAAATACTTAGATATTTATTAATTATCACCGGCTGCTATTAATCACTACTAAAAATTTGACAAGTCTTTCATTTTTAAAAAAATACATAAATATATCGCTCCCTAGTTTCTTTTAACTATATGTCAAAATTTTAATGTGACAGGCAGAAGAAAAGAAAAAAAAAAGAGTTGGAATTTTTTTTAAATGGATGGAAAAATAAATAAATGGTTGGTAAAACCCATATTCACTTGAATTGCTGTCTTAATTTTCTAAATTTTTGTAACACATTCATGTGTTTTGATCTTTAAATTTATAAATATTTTTTAGTCTCCCCATTTTTTAAATGCTATTGAAAAAATATTTTAGTCTTTAATTAGGTTTCATTTTCACTAATTATTTAACAAAAAAAATTAAATACCTATGGCTTCAAAAAACTATATGTATTCCAAATGGACATACAGTAGAAAACATGTCAATGTCAGATTTCTGTTTACATTAACTCAGTTCAAAATTACCTGCAAAAAGGACTACAGTGATATTTTATGCAAAGTTTTGAGTAAAATAGGAGACTAAAAATAGAATAAACGTACAAATTTAGAAACTACATGTATTTAACGGTTATTAATTAGTGAAGTATAAATTTAAATAGTTGAAAGAACACATTTTGTCCCTGTAATTTAGGATTTGAATTTTAACTGTAATAATCTAGTCTCTATCATTTAAAATTTGTAATAATTTAAATTATATCTTGGATAATCTCATAAAAATCAATGTGGATTTTAATCCTATAGCGATTAAACACACGTTTAACCTCTATCACTTTATCGATCTACATATATAAGAAATATTATTAAATCTTAACAAAATTGATTAAAATGTGGTTGGTGTACCTCTGGAAATTGGCATCGGAATCCTTGAACCGATATTTCTTCATGTTTCCAGATGAATATTGTGCTCCCAACCAAATCAATCACTTCATCACTGAGAGCCTTACCATTCCCCTCACAAACAAGCTAAATGTTATAGGGAGCAATGCTGCAAGTGCTATTATGCATGGCATATTTGGTAGGAACGAAATCTTCGAATGTTCACGGACTCAACAAAATCTTTTACAAACATGTAGGAATATGTCGGTTACTGCTTCTCTATGATCATCTAAATCTACTCTTGTTTATAATTATGATCCTTCTATCATTTCTCTCCATTGGAGAGAGCTTTTATTTAGGTCTCCTCTTTTTGTGTATAATCCTCACATACATCAATGAAATGCATTTTTTCTAAAAATAAAATTGATTAAATTGTCACAAACTTTAAATTACATGGACCAAATTGTTACCAATTTAAAAGTACAAAAACTAATATGTTATACGCTAAAGTCCAGGGACCCGTCTTTAGTTTCAATGAGCTTTGAAGAAGAGAGATTAGAGAAAAGAGAAGAAGGTAAGAAAGAAAGGGCAAAATCATGGAAATGAAGAGACAGTGCATGCAGAACTGGAAGAGACCAGACCAAAGGCATGCAGATGAAACAGTTGCTGTCGCTTGCAACAGTAATAACATAACACAGAAACCTCAAAAAAAGCAACCTCTCAGCCTCTGCTGTCTCAGTCCTTACCTTATCTTCTTCATGTCTCTCTCTCTTCTGGTCTTTGTCTGAAGAAGGAGAAGGAAGAAGATGCCATACCATAATATTATCTGTGGTTCTTGAATTAATGGGGTGTCTTTTTTCAGACAACTTATGGGGGGAAAGCAAAAGGAGATCAGGGAACACAACAGTTTCTGACTTCTTTACCCCTTATTAATATCTGATATCCCTGTTCTCTATCCACCAACACTTTCTTTTTCTTCCCTTTTAACATGGGCCTTTTGCATGTCTCTCTGCTGCTGCTTCCCTAATCTCATTCATGGCCACACACTACACCACAACCCCACTTCATTTTTTCCCTTCTTCTTCCCAACCTCATCTCAAAAACCCTAACTTCCTTCTCCTCTTCCGCCGCCCTCGCCGTCGCGGTCGCGTAATATTTGACTACCTGTGTGTTATTAATGAAGAAAGAAAAATAATTAATCTCAAGCTGTGTCTGTGTCTTGGTATTAAATATCTGTCAACATGTCAACATTTTCATCAACATGTCCATATATCCATAGGTTCAACATCGATATGAGAAGTAAATGACATTTTGATCGTAGTACAAAAAAATTGACAAAATATGAAAAATATATACATTATGTCACTTATATATACATGATATTAATACTAATCCTTTTTTATTTATTTGAGAAAAATATTTATTTGTTACAATTCTTTAATTTCTCTAACATCTTTAGAAATATCCATCGACATCAATATTTTATCGATATTTTCATAGATATTTCTATAAAATTGAGATCTTTACCTTTAAAATTCTGATATGTGTCAAGTTTTGTTGGACGTTGGATGTTGGATGTTAGATGGAATAGATGGAATAGATGGATATATATTGGAGAAAATTTTCAATTTTATTTTGATTTAACTTCTATCAATTTCGTTAAATCAATCTTACGTTTGAATGAATGTTTGTAATCTTTTTTTATTATTAGACTTTTGTTTTAGTACAACACGTAGGGATCGAACTCACAACCAACTAGAGATATATGTCAATTATATCACTGAGCTATGCTCATTTTGACTTTTATTAGACTTTTGTTTAATCATATCTTTGGTGTGTATTTAATGAATCACAAACAGAGATCAATGGTAAAATTGGTAAAGTATAAAAGAAAGATACCATATCCTAGAGCGGTTAAATTTTTGTTAAAACTAATAAATTTTGAGACTAATTTGTCAAAACTCGCTAAAATAAAGTGATACATTAGAGCATGTCTCATATTTCGGATTGCAAAAACACTTATTTTAATATTTAAAACTCATTCTCTTTGCCTATTTCATATTCTATCAATCATATCCTATATAAAACATTACTAGGTATGAAATTAACAAAAATTACAGGTTAAGTTAGAAATTTGATATATAACAAGTTTACCATTTACCTAATGTCTTTTATCATAGCTAGTGAGGGGGAAAAATAGAATTTTGATATATAACAAGTTATTTGTAGGTTCACTTGAAATGAGTGATAACAATTTAAGGAGCATATTTGATTTAACTCTCTTCCTACTTTTTAATTAATAATGCCTTACAACTTTACTAAAATTTAACTATGTTTTTCGATTAGAATGTTTTTTTTTCCTAATACAACATGTGAAGTGAAGATTCGAACTCATGACTTTTTAGTAGAAAATAGGTGTCTTAACCAATTGAACTATGTTCGGGTTGACTAATTAGTAATTAGAATGACTTAGACAAGTGCTTGTGATTCAAACAAAATGCTTTAACATGTGTATAAGAACACTATCAAAACTTGTAAAAATATGGGAATGAAATTGAAATTATGAGAAAGTAGGAACTAAAATTATAATTTGACTCGTATTATAAAAAAAAGAAATCTACACAACAAATCAATTATTAAAAACACATTGAATACCACCATATTGCATTGAAATGGGTTTGCTTTTCCAAAGTCCACTAATTTAATGCCATCTAAAGGCTACCTTTTGTGGACTCACTTTGTGTGCTTTGGACTTTGCAAAAACTAATCCATTTGCCCATAAGACTCTTTGCTTAGGGAAAAGTTAGTATGCTTTTTATAAAGGCTTCACCTTTCTTGTTATTCTCAATTTAACAAAAGCCCATGAGAGTTCAGTGGGCAGAATTTCTGGCTTGAATTATGAGTTATGAACCCAGAATTCCCTCGGAAACATGATCATCATTGCAATATCCATGGAAGAGAGAGAGATTTTGAACAGAAATTTCCTTTTTTTTCATTTTTCTTTTTTTTTACATGGGCTTACTCATGAGAAGGATCTATATCCAAATTAGAAATGGGGGAAAGAAAAAAGAAGCTAACAAGAAAGATGATTTGCCTAATTCTTCTAACATATCATGATCATCACAAGAACATACAAGTACATTATTCTCTTGCAAGAAATTAAGGGAAAAAAAGACAGCATGCAGCTACCATGGAACCAAAA